TAATCTTCTTTACTCTTCCAGACGTGCGTTAACAAAACAGAACAACAAAAGCTAACAAAAACAACAAACGTTTCGAGCTGTACACCATATTGGAATTTCATATAAAAAGGATGTTTATTATACCTACAAGAATTGTATTTGCAACTATAACTTTCTAGAAGAATCCTTATCAACCACCGACATACAGTGAACTATGGAAAAACTTAGATTTCCGGACTAAATACATCAGAAATTGATATAACACAAATAAAGTAATAAATAAACAATATAATCTTATCTTCAATGTGACAGGAAAATTTCCTAACAAATATCACCAACAAAAGTACTGAAAAAAAGTACGATAAATAAAAACGAAGTTTATAACAAGACAAAAGAGACATGATAATTCAATAACAGCTTCATCATTTTAAATGATTCATGTGTATGAGAACTTGGATATTTTACCCTAATAAAAAAAATCTTTTTAACAAAATCTACGTAATCTAAAATCTAATCAAAGTTTAATCAAACATTGACCCCAGGAACCAAACAGTATGACAAACTTTAAACTAAATAATTTATATGGTCTTTATGATTTTAGGCCAACTTGTCAATGTTTTTATTAAAAAAATTATTGTTTTGTTCTACACATTTCAACTTATATTAGTTTAATTAGTAAATTCAAATATACTCTCAAATCGTATATGTACAACTCTCAATACCATGTTAATCAATCAAGACGTAATCCTTTTAATAGAAACGTAAGCTTGGACTGTTTAACCCTTTCTTCTTATTTCTCGTTAATCTTCTTTATTATTCAAGGCTTATTTTAAACCGAAGCTTTCGAATGAACGCAAAGCTTGAATGAAACAAACAAATATCAATTCATAACCCCCAAGAAATACAAGAAATATTATTTCAAACAATGATATTACAGATTTCATCAATGGGATTAATTGTTAATCCATTCGATTGGGGATTTTAGGTAATTTTAGCTCTGCGTAATATTCTAACCATTTAAAGACAGATGCTGTGCTATTTTGGAAATGTTTACTCCATTTCAACAGTTGTTTAAATTATAGTAATTTAATCTAATTTATATTCAATTTTGTAAATTGATCTTTAAATAAATCTTGCTTAGCATACTTAAAATCCACAGTTAAATTTACGAGATTGATTGGCTACGCAACGTTAATTTTACTGAATATTTTTATGTCACAGAAGTTTATTGTTTGACAGACTTTCCGCCTTCTCCAATTTGATTTGATTTTGTTCCTTAGAGATGGAGAATTTTTGTAATCAACGCAAAATTTTGCGGTTATTTTTAGATGCCTTTGCCTATTTTCATACGATTTCAATCTGAATGAAATAATATGCCAAGCTTGATAAATTTTGCATTCAAACTATCGGCATTATTTTTTTTAGAAAAACTGCTTTAAATCTTTTGGTAGTTATAATATTATATATTGTTGTATTTGATTCCTCAGAACGAATATTTTAAAAAAATATATCCTCATACGAAAGAATTACAGTAAAAAACTGATGATCTATATATATATTTTTTTTTAAATATATATTCAATCAAAGTATTTCTACTCACTCAAAGTGTTTTTGATTGAATATATATAAAAAAAAATATATTTTGCATTGTATAAATTCACTTTTCCACATCCAAAATGTAATTGTAATATGTAAACAATGTTTTGTAAATCCCAGGCCCTGAAGATGATCTCAATGAAGATAGAAACGTTGGCACGATCAAGAAAATGTTTTTCTGAACCTACATCACACCAGACCGCATCTGACGATTTCTAAATAAATTTCTATAAGATTTCTATTTTAATAATTTTTGAAGGTTAAATTTAACAAGATTCGCATTCTGTTTCGCACACACATTAAAACTAAGAGAATTTTTATTTAAGTGAATTAATACTGGTAACGAAGTATAACTAAGATCTAGTTATTATATATTATAAAATATCTCACTGTCCACTGTCAGTCTTCACATTGTTAGTTTTTGTTCAATAGTATATAGTGGTGCACATATTTACCATTATTATTTAGGTTAAAGATTATTTTCATAAACCGAGTTTATTTCGTTTACTTCCATGGTTTTATATTTTATTGCATTTTTGAAATGTTCAATATTAACTTATATTTTTCGAAAATGAAAATTAGAGCTGTGATCTTATGCTCTCATTTGGATGAAAAGCGTTTAATTTTAATTTTGTATGTATATAAATGCTAAGACTGACTCTATTTGTATAAGGATTACCTACACCTCCCTAACCTTAAAAAAATAAATAAAAACATAACTCATTTGTGTGGTGATTAGTGACCGTTAATCGATAATTATTCAGAAATCGTGAGATCCGGTCTGGTGTGATGTAGGTTTCAGAAAAATTGTGAGTAGAAATACTTAAATTGAACATAAAAAATATATTTTGCATTGTATAAATTCACTTTTCCACATCCTAAATGTATTTGTTAAATGTAAACAATGTTTGTAAATCCCAGGCACTAAAGATGATCTCAATAAAAATGGAAACGTTGGCACGACAAAGAAAATGTTTTTATGAAACCTACATCACACCAGACCGCATATCACGATTTCTGAATAATTAAATAACTCATTTGGTTTTATTATAAGTGGGAAATATGTCTTGAAAGTATAACTATTTATAACCTCTTCAGTTTGATTAAATGGGATTTTTGAACAAGTTTAAAAATTATTGATGATTGTGTTTACTCAATTAACTATATATAAAATATGTAAAAAGATAACTTGTACACTGTACTTTTAATTATTTCAAACACTTTTATGACAGTATTTAAAAAGACAAATTATTAGTTTATTTACTATTTTTCAACCTGAAAGTTGCCGAGAAGGTTCTTCTTTAATGGTGTAAGTTTGACATTTGTAAACAAATGAGCAACTACAAGATGGACGTAAAATTACGCAAGGATTTATTCAATAAGCTCTATATATTTCCGATCACTGTCTAATTTTAGAATGAAATAACAATCAATAACGAAGTTTATTTTTGTCGTTTATTGGATAGATTGAGTAGTTTTCATTGTTTACTTAATCTAAATTTTTGTATTTTAAAATTTTGTTTTAATATCTAGATGTCATCTAAATTTTTTTCGCACTGTTTTAAACAAAGTAGAGATATATTTTACATTTATAGTTCCGAATTTGATTTTAATAAAAATCCCGTTACCAAAGAGAAAACCTATATTTAAAATAGTTGAAAAGGTCTCAAAAAGGAGTGGAACGTATTTGGGAAAAGGGCTTTTAACTATCCGTCTCCCGGTTTTTCATGTCGGCCGCCGTAAATTATACTACTCCATCATCCGTCAGCAACCGCGAAGGGCCGTTTCGTCTCCCAGGCCGCTCCCTCGTTCCCTCTCGGTTCGATTCATTGACCCAAATGCCCTGTGATTTCCCGGTAGGCAATCGATAAATCCTCCATGAGCAATGGACAACGGTCGATATCGCGAAGGACGCACACCCCTCCCATATCCGTTGGTTATTTAATGAGAGAATTATTATGTTGGGCTCAACACGCGCAAGCGCTCGGTTTACTCGGCTCGACTTGTTTGCATACAAACTGATTTCGTATTTTATAATATTAACATACATTATTTATCAAAGGGGTGGCATGGATTGAACGTTCAAATTGGGAACTTGTTGAAAGTTGCTAATCTGGTTTTTTCAACATTCCATAATTTATATAAAGGAAAACAAACCATACATGTTTTGCATAAAACTATTTAAAATGATTACAACTGAAAGAAAAATATTCTTGAATTTAGAAAAATAGAGGATTTTTGAACGGTTGTGTCACAAAAAAGTTTAATCTGAGGGACAAAAAGTAAACAAGGTATTGTTCAGGGTAGTTTATTTTCTTTGCCCATGGGAGCACTTGGGATTCAGGAGGACAGTTTAGTTTAATTAAGTCAACAATGTCGCGGCAATAAATATTAGAAGGCTAATTCCGTTCTGCGGCAAGTCTGGCAACCACGCCCCAACTAATGATATAAACAGTGTATTTCCTCGTGGTTTAACCAATTCGTCGTGCTCGAAACACTCAAATTGGATTACGTGCAACTTCTAGGTCACTAATGACCTAGTTTCAGCCGACGTGAACAAAGCCGAAACAATCACAAAGCCACTGTATCCGCGCAATGCATATTTGCTTTCTGGAACTTGGTTGAATTTGAAAATGTCCAGGGGATTGTGCGAGAATGTACTCAGGAGCGGGCACGCCCTGCAAATAACGCTAGCCTGGAAAACACCAGCTTTTATATTTCCACACCGTTTAGTTATTTCTCCTATTCTTTCTGTCCATTAACTAATTTTCTAAAATAAAATAAAAACAATATTTTAAAAAATAGACTATTAATGTGTTAAAAAGTCAAGGTTAGTAGCTACGGTCGATAGGGCGAGCTGGTTTATATTACGCTCGTATTGTATTAGTAAAAGATTATTCTGTTTTATGAAAAGCTTGTTTGGGATTTGGTTTCAGGTTCCGAGATAAAAAGCTGTTGCTAAAGCGTGGGTGGGGCTACAACAATGGTCCTGGGTCGTTAAGGTAAAAGCCTCCCATGTAATTCTACATCTTCGGGCTCGTCTAATGACTTGCACTAATTGGCCGAGGATCAGCTGTATCCAGTGAATAATTCAACGCGTTTTAAATAAACATCCTGAAGCTTTCCGTCTTTGGGGCAAAGATTGACGGTTCACCCCGGGGCGATCCGAACGCGAACTGTGGGGGGAGGTGGCGATAGCTAACACGAGGGGTCGACATAAGCAGACATGCAATGCAACCTCCTCGGCCTTTGTTTCCCCGGGGCGGTCACCCCTCAATTGACCACCCTTTCCCGGCACTTTTTCTCCGATTTCGCACCGTCACATTTCACATCACTCTCACCCCTATTTGCCCTCCACCTCCGAGTTCCCTGTATGTTGGTATGGAAAATTGTCATTTAATTGAAAATAATTGTTTATCACTTACGCTGCTGCTTGTGCGAATGGTGCACGTGTACTCGGGGCGATGAGGGTTGCGGCGATTGCGATTGTGAGGAAGGCCCATGAAGCGAGGGCAGACCTCATGATGGCGAGCTAGTCCATTGCTAGACTGGCTGGGTGGTGTCTACCCCCACCATATTTCAGCCAAGCTGTATTGATCCTTAGCCCAGGAGCTACCCCCACTGTTTGTTCCTTTACTCCTTCCCCACCACCCTTTCTACGTTATCACCATTGTTAAATGTTCATTATTAAGTCCTCCTGGTTTTGCAACCTGCCATCTGACAGGCCACTTGCAAATAGCCCTAATAGCCTCCTCGGTCATTCGAGTCCTTTTCTCTGTCCAACCATCGAAATACTGTTTAAAAATAGAGCAAACCCATGTCAGGAGACTTCCGCCTCTTCTAGGATGATGCACCGCCCCCCAGGACAAGGAAGATTTACAAAAACCATGACAATTATATACAACTAATTTTTAGATATCAAACCAAGAATACTTTTCAATTTATTACCGTGTCACATCTACGAGAAAAAGATTTTATAGCTATCTTTTACGTTTTAATGAATTTTTTAAATGAACTAATGCACAAAACAACGTCTATTATTCAACGTTAACAATTAAATGTTCAAAATATTCGAAATTTTAAACATACCATATTCAAGGGTATTAAATTTTAAACATTTATTTCCAAGCATTGCTTATGAAACATTATTAGTTGAATTAATATTAACAATTTATCGTTTTGAAAGAAAAGTTTTGAAGTTCTGTACGGCTGCTTCGGTAGGCAGCCCGAACAACCGTTCAGTCGCGCCGGTTTAGCATATATGGAGCGCCGTTTTTTCAGTAGGCGGGCTGAGCACAACGATTATACGTACAATATTTTGAACTTTAACTTTTTTCAATTACATCTCATTTTGCTTTTTTGTTTTTTATAGTCCTTAAGAAACGAAATAGCAATTTTCACAAATGTTTTAAAGTCTTATTTAATTTTATACCTTAATTCAATACACAATAAATTGAGTATTGTGTGACTTTTATCAGTGTTTAACGCTTATATGTGATAATATTCAATCCTATGTTTGAATAAACTATATTAAAGCGTATTAAATTTTATACATTTATTCCTAAACATTGTTTATTAAAAATTGGTAGTTGAATTAATATTAACAATTTATGGTTTTGAAAGAAAAGTTTTGACGTTCTGTACGTTCTGTACGGCTGAGCCCAACGATCCTATGCATTTTGAACTTTAAATTTTTTTCAATTGCACCACATTTTGCTTTTTTTTTCATAGTCCTTAAGAAACGAAATAGCTATTTTCACGAATATTTTAAAGTCTTATTTAATTTTATAACTTAATTCAATACAGAATAAATTAAGTATTATTAAGTGTTTAACGCTTATATGTGACAATATTCAATCCTATGAATAAACTATATTAAAGCGTATTAAATTTTATGCATTTATTTCTAAACATTGCTTATTAAAAATTATTAGTTGAATTAATACTAACAATTTATCGTTTGGAAAGAAATGTTTTAACGTTCTGTACGGCTGGGCCCAACGATTGTATGCATTTTGAACTTTAACTATTTTTCAATTGCACCTCATTTTGCTTTTTTGTTTTTCATAGTCCTTTAGAAACGAAATAGGAATTTTCACAAATATTTTAAAATCTTATTTAATTTTGTAACTTAATTCAATAGACAATAAATTAAGTATTATGTGAATTTTATCAGTATTTAACGATTATATGTGATAATATTAAATACTATGAATAAACTATAATAAAGCGTATGAAATGTTGTACATTTATTTCTAAACATTGTTTATGAAAAATTATTAGTTGAATTAATACTAACAATTTATCGTTTTGAAAGAAAAGTTTTAAAGTTCTGTACGGCTGCTTCGGTAGGCAGCCCAAACAACCGTTCAGTCGCGCCGGTTTAGCATATATGGAGCGCCGTTTTTTCAGTAGGCGGGCTGAGCACAACGATTATACGTACAATATTTTGAACTTTAACTTNCCAACGTTTCGATCTTTATTGAGATCATCTTCAGGGCTCAAAGTGTTTGTCTTCTGTGTAATTGTGCCATTCTTGCGTGTCGTGTTGAGAGTGCCCACACCAGACCGCATCTCACGATTTCTGAATGATTATCGATTAACGGTCACTAATCACCACACATTTCTTCAAACAGTCAAAGAAAAAATATTTGAAAACACCGTCATTGCAACAACTCATAGGGACAACATCTAAGCGAGATGATGATGGACTGCGTGCTTCTTATAACATTTCTTTGTTGATTGCAAAGCCCGGAAAACCGTACACTATTGATGAAGACTAGAAAGTAGTGCTCTTGAGGATTTGCGGTTGGTACTCACAAACATTGAGCTGGACATAAATACACTCATAACATCTCATGACATTCATCAAGCCGTTAATTTTTATTAAATTTTATTTTAAACAAAACTTATTATTTCAATAAATACTTCTTCAACCATTTTTTTTTAATTTGTAATTTTTATACTATGCATTTGTGTAGCTTTTTCACTTGGTGGTCCGAGGGCAAGTTTTGACTATAAAAAGGGGTCCTTGGGTCAAAAAAGTTTCGGAACCACTGCTCTAGAGCATTACTAAGGACAGAGAAAAGCTGAGTTTGTGTTATCAGTTCCTGTTGTTTTTGTTCTATTTCGAAACTCAAGGGATTTTAGCGACCGTCAAAATTTGATCTCGAGTCAAAATCGAAAATTGGTAAGTTTCAAAACTTATTATTTGTTCCGTAGATGTCAATAGTAAAATAAACTCAGACCCTCGATTTATCCGGGTGATTGCAACGACGTTACATGGGCAATGTCACCCCACTTGTGGGCTGACATTGCCCAATCGAAAAATTGCCTGAATACCTGCTTAATATTTGAAAAAAAAATATTATGCACCGCTATATGTAAATTGAGTTTTTTCTTACTTGGAAGTCTCGAGGAGGAAACTAAATTCGGCGCTGGAAGAATATGATGAACAATGACATTTCAGCCCGTAAAGCATCCGAAAAGTACGGTATCTCGAGAAAAAACTCAATAATAAATATAAGATCTATGAGGTTTCGTGGTCCGATTGACCAAATAAATTCTTTTCAATTAATTAAGGTTTTGGTTGAGATAAAAATGTCAGTGTCACAAGCGGGATTCGAACCCACGACCTTCAGCTCAATACGCCGCTGCTCTACCACTTGAGCTATCGTGACTTCGATCTACTCGGACACCAACCTCCCATTTCAACCCCACCTTTTGAATTTTCCCTCCTTTTTGCCATTTTTGAAATGTCGTGTAATCTATTGAATTCTCGGCGACAGGAAGTTGGTGTCCGAGTAGATCGAAGTCACGATAGCTCAAGTGGTAGAGTAGCGGCGTATTTAGCCGAAGATCGTGGGTTCGAATCCCGCTCGTGACACTGACTTTTTTATCTCAACCAAAACCTTAATTAATTGGAAATAAATGTAACGGTTTACACATGAGAACTGTGTGAGGGCAAACGGCTTTTTCGGAGTCAGAGGAGATATTACTTGGCTACAACGGATCTTAGACTGTGCTGAATTGGGAATGCACAGGGTCCTTCGATGCGTGATTAATCGACAAAGACCGTCTGCAGAAGAGTGGACACGTACCCAAATTTAAGGACACACCCGGACATGACTGGTAAAAATCATTTGTGCAACGTCATAAACGTGAATTAACATTTAACATAAAATTCACTAATTTCGTGGTCCGCTTGACCAATTAATATATTACAATTAATTAAGGTTTTTAGTTGAGATAAAAAAAGTCAATGGCACGAGCGGGATTCGAACCCACGATCTTCGGCTAGATACGCCGCTGCTCTACCACTTGAGCTATCGTGACCTCGATCCACTCGGACACTAACTTCCCATCTCAACCCCACCTTATGAGTTTTCCCTCCTTTTTGCCATTTTTCATTTGACAAAACTTAAAGCGAGCGGACACCATCCTAGCTTCACCTGGTTCATATGATGCTTGAAACAAAAAATATAAGTGTAACACCAATAAATTTGTACTGATTGAGAATGTTTACATATTTTTTTTTTGTGTTGGATTCCACGTCTATAAATTTAGAAAAAACTACCACCTTTCATTTACAGAATTTTCACGAGTCTTCTAACATTTTACACGATTGTCGGCTATAAACAAAACATCATCAGTAAAAAATAGTGGTTAAACTTTAATGTTGCCAATCCGAACACCACCATCAAACAGTGAGAGTTATCAATGAAGAGGAAAAAAGGGCAAGGCTTAAACTAAATCCTAGCCTCACCCCACAACTGAAAGTTCTGTACCATTTCAGAAAGCCAAACCTATATATATATATATATATATATATATATATACGATAGCGCGGGGATGTTTATTTCTTTCATCTTCAGTTTCCCTGACAGATTATATCCAGGTGTATCTAAATATCTTTTTGAGGAACTGCTGACCCAGGTATTTATATTTTTTTTCTCATGTCCTTAAGGAACAAAATAGCTATTTCGAATAATATTTTAAAGTTTAATTGAATTCTATTAATCAATTCGTATATAAATTGAGCCTTATATGACTTTGTAAGAGTGTTTTACGCTTATACATATGATCATATTCAATATTCTGAATAAACCTTATTGAAGAGAATTAATTTTTTTTACTTTATTTATTTTCAGCTACAACTGTGTATTATATAATTATAGCCTACACGCATATTTTTGTTTATATCTTATCTTTAGCTATATTTTATACATAGTACATTTCAATAAACATTTAAAGTCTTATGGAATTTTATAAATTATGCCATATGATATAATAATAATATAATGACATAATTATATGATTTTATCAGGGTTTATCGTTTATATGTGAAAATATACAACACTTTAAATATACTACTTTTAAAGGTATGAAATTTTAAACGGTCACTATGAAACGATCATTGTTAACGAAAATTAACTAAACTAAAAAAAAAACTATTTATTGTCTTGAAAGATAAGTATTAATCGAAATGAAAAATGATGGAGTGAGTGTGGTGTTCAATCAAAATAATAACAATTAAAATAATTAATTTAATTATTTGGATTTTTAATATTATTTATGTACATATTTAAAATGGGAGGT